GCAGCTGATCGATGTTTCTAACTCTCTATCCCTCTCCCTTCCTCTCTGTAAAAAAAAATCAATAAAATATATTAATAAAAAGTATATAAGTTCTTGGGCCCTTTCCAAAACCTACAATATATTAGACACTCTGGTGTCTAAGAGTTTTAACAAGCCGTCTAAGAGTTCTGATATATACTTAAGCTTTAGAACCATATTTGGAGGAAGCGTGATAGGAATTTTTAATTGAAAGATTAGTCTGTCATTCCCATAATTCATTGGTTGATCTTAGTGCTCCTAAAAGTAGATCCATATCTTATATTCCTCCTAGTAGATCTACCTGTGACATATTTTTTTCCACCCTCCAAAAAAATGTAAACACAAATCTATTCTATTCTTTATACTTGAATTCCAATTTGTAGGAAACTAGTGATCTAACTCATGAAATCACGTGAGTCCCAGGCCCACAGGAAATCTCAGACCCTACTGCCCCACAGGACCCAGAATCAAGTCCCCACCCGCTCGCTGTACTTCACCACACATGCAGCCTCCTGGTGACCTGTCTTTGGTCATTACAATGTTAGGGCCACTGGGTTTTTATAATGTAGATACAGAAGCTAGAAGAATAATTCAAACAAAATTATGAGGAAGCCAAGGACAAATCCAGAATGTAGGACATCCAATCCAGTTTCTTTAAGTCAGTGCCATTGGGAAATGAGGGGAGGGGAGAGGAACTGTTTCAGAATGAAAGAACTCCAAACACAAAACAAGTAATTGCAAAATGTACATCTTGTTTGGACCCTGATTCAAATAGCCAACTGAGGAAATCTGAATTCAGACTGTGTGTTAGATAATATTAAGGAATTGTTGATTTTGTTAGGAGTGATAATGGTATTGTATTTATATAAGAAAGGGGTATGAGGGTTTTTAGGTATTCAAAAGTAGGGTGAAATAAAATTATGTCAAGATTTGCTTTAGGTTACTACAGGGGAAAAAAGGAATTTAAAGGGAAAAAGGATAAATGAAGCAAGTATGGCAAATTTTTTAGAACTCTTGAATCTCAGGGAGTCATTATACTAATTTTTCTACTTTCATGTATATTAGAGATTTTCATAGTAAAAAGAAAATTTCAAATTATTTGCAAAAATAATATATTTATTAGTACATATTTCTTTCTGTTCTAGTTTTTATCACAACATATTGTATTTGTCTGTATATTTGTCTAGTCCAGTATTTCTCAAACTATCAGTTTTGAAAGACCAATTTTTTAGTTGTCCAATGTATCACAGACCATGACTTTTGTAATATGCAATAAAAACCAATTACAGAAAAACAAAATGGGGGAGGACATACAAAATAAAACTTTAAAATTTTTTATTATTGAAGTCAACAAACAAGTGAGGGAATAAGGACACATATGTAACACCTTAATCAATAAAGAAATTTTAAAAATTAAATAACGTTAACAGATTACATTTCACTTAACAATCAGTACAAATGCAAACATAGGGGGAAAAATTTTTTTTAATATATAATTTTACTTATTTCAGAGAGGAAGGGAGGAGAGAGAGACAGAAACACCAATGATGAGAGAAAATCATCAATTGGCTGCCTCCTGCACGCCCCCTAATGGGGATCGAGCCTGCAACCCAGGCATGTGCCCTTGACCGGAATCGAACCTGGAACCCTTCAATCCGCAGGCGGATGCGACATCCACTGAGCCAAACCAGTTAGGTCAGGAATAAAACAATTTTTTGAAAACCGAATCCATTCATCAAAAATGCACACATAGGCCATGAGTGTAGACGAGCTGTGACACATTTGTGTGTGTCTTTTTGCATGTTAACTTGAGGTCCTGGTTTATTAACTGGAGCTTGGATTGATAACAGTGCCCTTTGCTGAGGAAAGGGTGTACCTAAATGGTTTTACTGGCAGCCACAGGTTTTTGCCTCAGTTATTTCTATTGATTTCTCAACAGAGGTATAGTTTTGAAGGCTACCTACACTGCAGAAATCATGAAGAATGGGGAAGATAATAGATATGCTTGCTGTAATACTCAATGAGATTTTTGCTTTAAGGGATGAAATACCACTTCTTTAAATAGTTGGTTTCTTAATCTCTGGAATGCAGCTGTTGTCATTTTTCTCACACTGTTTGTTATGCATTTGTTGAGATGTGATGACTGTGACTCTACATGATAATTTTAGGTGCAGATGTACCATGCCTTCGTTTTTCAAATAATACCCTTCTTGCCAAGTGTTAAAGCTTTTTTCCCCCTTGGCTGTGGTGGTGCCAGTTTTTTACTGACTGCTTCAAAAAGTATCAATTGCTGTAGATTCTGTTGTGCTTCCCAGGACACATTTTGTAGGCAACAGTTTGGTTTTGTTTTTTCCATATGCATTAATCCATACTTGTTCACATTGGATCTGGTAGGTTTCTCTATGTTTCCAAAATTTCAAAAATATTTTCCAACAATGAACATTGACTCAACATTTTCAACAGTAGAAATTTTGTCTGTCATTTGTCTAGGAAATAACTGCCTCGCTGTAATAGGATTTGGTGTGGAATCATAGGGAATCCTATCTAATAAAGAAGGGATATGCTAATTGACCATCACTGTCACAAAGATGGCTGCACCCACAGCTGAGGCCAACTTCCCATAAGGAGCCTTCACAAGCAATCAGCAGGGACCTGAATTTATGCCCTCCCCCGCCCCCGTGGGGCTTGACAGGGGAACCTGAGGCTGAGCCCCCCCCCCCTCCCAGTGCTGGGCTAGGGGACCTAAGGCTGCACCTTTCTGCCCCCGCCTGGCAAGGCTTGACAGGGGATCTTAGGCCATACCCCCCATCCTGGTGCTGGGCCAGGGGACCTGAAGCTACACCCCCTGCCCAGCAGGGCTTGACAAGGTTGGGACTGGCTGGGCCTGAATCTAGCTCAATGGGGGGCGGGAGTGGCCCGGTCTGGGTCTCACATGACTTTGAGGTGCATGTGGGTGGGTGGGGACTTGACTCTGGGTCCCATGGTGTGCCCCAGACTCTGACAGGAGGAAGATTTTCATATACATTTTACTAATTTTCTTTCCTCTCTGACACTTCTATTATAGAGAAAGGACAAATAGCAATATTAAAATATTTCCTCTATTTAATCCCCTTTTAATGTGCACGAATGTCATGCAATGTCACAAGTATATTACTAAACCAGTCAAAAGAGATTCGAATCTCCTCACAGAAAATCTTGTATTCCCTCATTAAGTTTGACCCACAGGTCCAACCCTTCATTATGGTTTTCCTAATTCATCCAGTATATTAGTAGAAGGAGGCTCAGATATACTCAGGAATAGAAAGCAAGGGGTCTAGTTGCCAGTTTACTTAGACCATATAGTTTGGATATTTTGACTAAAAATCCAGCATATTTGTTCTTAAATGACCCTTTTTGCCTTGCAGAATGATGGATGGCTACTATGTGAGCTCTGTAAAGGCAAAGGGAAGATGTGATGAGCTGATGGTTTCAGTTTGTGATAATAGCCAATATAGAAGATTATACAAAATGTCCAAATAAATTTAACTTGTAGAGTTAAACACTAATATAACTTGTAGAATATAACACTAACAGTCCATGTTTTGTAATACTGTTGATGGAAAATTTCATGATAGCATCCAGGATAATACCTTAAGTAATTAAGTATTTAAGTACTATACCTACAGTGTTTTGTGCACAGTGCTAAGCATTGTGAGAAGTACAAAGAAGAATGATATTGTCCGTACCCTCAGGAAGCTTTAATGAAGGTGTTTTTTGTTTTGTTTTTTTTTCTGAAACACTGTATTAGAAGTGGGGCTGTGTGCATATCCAGGCTTGAACACACGTTGGGGTAGTTATAATATAGTATATGCAGATAAAGTGTGTTATAATTGATGAGTTCAAGGAAGAGAGATTTGAAGTGATTTATTTCTATTTGAAGTGGCGAGGGACTGTTTAATATCAAAGTGGCATTTGCATAGAGTTTGAAAGGATCGTTATGTATCTTGCAAAGTATATTTTTTTCAGGGAACAGAGTCTTTCATAAGAGTGCTTGCTTCCAAGAACAAGTCTGCATGACTTGTTCTTGGGTAGATCCGAATTGCTCCATTTAACAACAGGGTGTGAATTATTGAAGCTACTTCCAAGGACCACTGTATCTCATGTATAATAACTTCATGAAATTATTTTTTAAAAGAATGATAAACTTGCTTAGCCAGTGTGGCTCAGTGATTGAGCTTTAACCCAGGAACTAATTCAATTCCAGGTCAGGGCACATACCCAAGTTGTGGGCTCAATCCCCAGTAGAAAGCATGCAGGAGGCAGCTGATTGATGATGTTTTTCATCAGTGTTTCTATCTATCCTTCTCCTTTCTCTCTCTAAAAATCAATGAAAAAAAAAATTTTAAAACAAAGACAAATAACCTTGATTGATTGGATGTCGAAGAATTGATTCATGTTCTTTGTTTTACATAAATGTTATTTTTTAAATGTGATTAGAAATATTTAGTACTCAGTAAAACTTTTAAGAACATAGAGAGTGCTTGGGCATAAAGTGAATATTATGCTACTTACTATTGTCTCATCTTGGACTCGTCATTTTTCTGTATTCTAGTGGAATATGATTTGAATTGCTTTTCTTTTTTAATATATTTTATTGATTTTTCACAGAGAGGAAGAGAGAAGGATAGTCAGAAACATCAATGAGAGAGGGACATCGATCAGCTGCCTCCTACATACCCCCCACTGGGGGTGTACCTGCAACCAAGGTACATGCTCTTGACCGGAATCGAACCTGGGACCCTTGAGTCTACAGGCCCACGCTCTATTCACTGAGCCAAACCGGTCTCAACTGGAATTGCTTTTCTTAAGGCAAGAAACTTGGAAAACAGCATGGTATTTGAACATGAACCTTTAGTCATTATAAAAGCTATTCGATGGGGGGGGAAAAATCCAAATCCCAATGTTTAGGTCATTTGAAATATTTTAAATTCTCTCTTTTACAGACTACCTTGCTAATCATGGCCGGTTAAATGAGTCTGAGGCCAGGCGCAAATTCTGGCAAATCCTGTCTGCTGTTGATTATTGTCATGGTCGGAAGATTGTACACCGTGACCTCAAGGCTGAAAATCTCCTGCTGGATAACAACATGAATATCAAAATAGCAGGTAACTGGGGCGCAGCTGGCTCAAATGTGATCAACTGTGAGTCCTTGTGCTGGGTGTTTGCAGAAAGAGAACTGCTGGCAGAGATTTGGAGCATTTCTACTGATGACATCAGGCTTTCTCAAAAAGTGGTTTTATTCATTTCCTTAGAAATGTATGCAAGGGAAAGAAAGGGAAATGGATTTGTTATTAATGTGCACAGTGGCAGGGCTATAGCTGGTGTCTCATTTATATCCTTGGTCTGATTTGTGTCCAGGTCCATTTGCGGGCCCTGCCAGAGAAGAGGAATGCTAGGTCTACAGCAGCAGTGCCGGTTGTTGGGGCGAGTGTCTACATGAGGTTACAGTCAGGGAAAACGAAAAGGGAGGGTTGTAGGTTGATACAGGAGGAGCAGGTAGGCCAAGACCAAGATGTGAAGGTTCTTGAGTGCCATGAAAAAATTTTTAGAGTGTATTATGTAGATCACAGGAAGTTAACCTATTGAACATTTAGGGTGGGGACAGGGGTGAAATGGGATTGGGATGACAGATTTGCATGTTAGAATGATGTCTCTCTCTGGCAGCAGAATAAAGACAGGTGGGACATGTGAATAAGACAGGAAGATAATAAATAAGGACTCTAATGCAATAGTCCAGTCAAGAAAATGTGGGTCTGACAATAGTGTAGTGAAGGCCTGGGGCAGGGGCAGGGGTGGGCTAGAAGGGGACCAATTGGGGGAAGGGGGGAGCAGCTGTAATACTTTCAACAATAGAGATAAATTTAAAAAGAAAGAATAAATGAAAATGTGGGTGTGAAGTAGAGCTGAAGCAGGAGAGATTGTAGGATGAGATGAATGGAGGGAGATTTATTTTGGGTAGTGTTTTAAAGAAGGTAAAGGGCATGAAGCAAAAGCTTAACAACATTGCAAATGATGGTGTTTTGTTCTAGGATTATTAAAGAGGAGCAAGGAGACAGATGAAGCCTTGACCAAGAAATTCTTAGCTGACCAGTGAGGTTAGATATTCAATGGAGAAAGTTTAGGGAGAAAACAACTCCTTGGGGTATAAAATAGAAGTTAAAAGCCTCTGATTTGTTCATTTTACTGGTTTATGTTTATACCAGTTCCCATTAATTTTTGTCCTGAGCATTTTGAGGAAGGTACATAATTAGTTTTTATTTACTTTAACTTTACTTATTGTTACTTTAATCTTAATAATTAATTTTAAATGCCAATGTTACATATGTTAGAAGGAGGTAATGAATGGATTTTCTATTCTGCAGTCTGTGATTTTTTTATTCATGGGATCGCCTGAATAAGACAGTATTTGATAAGATAAAGTTAATTTGCTATATTCCCACTTTATATTTATTATAAAGAATTATATGATTTGTCATTTTTGTTTTGAAAATGCAGTCTACTACATTAGTGTCTCCATAGTTTCTTATGTGTGTTCACTTCTCCCATTTGTGTTTTTCCTGTCTTTGGCCCTTCCATTTGCACTTTCATTTCACTCCTTTTTGCCGACCTTTTGTAATGCATGTCCCTGGAATTTTTGTTTACTTCTCTTTGAAAACATGTGCTGCCCTCAAATTGCCCTCTTCAGAGTTGGCTCTTGTTTCTTGAAGTCCTTACCTCTATAGAAAGGAGGGGGAAACCTCTGCTTCACCTTTGCATTCATTTATCACTAAAACAAAACAAAATCACAAGTCAGTAATACCTTAGAGGAGTTTTGGGAGTGTTTTCAGGCAGAGAAAGGTTAGAGGTGTGAGTCATATGCTCTAGGAATTAGAGTTCTGTCAGAACTTCTCAAAAGAAAATGTCCAAATAGAACCAAAGAAACTTGGAAACAAACCATACTCAGCTCTACCTGGCTATCATATGTCTATAATTTCTAGGAATATTGGTAGGTAAACTCAGTATTTCTAATGTCATTATGAGATCTTTAGTTTTTGTTTGTTTTTGCTGTTTTATTATTTTTTTAATATCTAAACTTTAAGGCCTTCTAATTTTTATCTAAAAGATCAGTAAAATGTCTGTTAAACTAGTATAACAGCTAACATATTGAGCCTTCACTATGTTCAGGTATTCTGCTAGGTACTTTATCATTTAATCTTCACAGCAGCCCTAGAAGCTGCATAGCTCTTGCCAGTTTTCAGGTGAGAAAGATGAAATACAAAAAGATTAAATGACTTGCCAAGGTGACTCAGATAGTAAGTACCACACCTGGAATCCAAACCTAGGTCTCTCTGACCACAGCGTGTATTTCTTCCACTGCACCGTGTGATTGTTTCCAAGCGTCGCCAGTTATCCCTCACGGGGTACTCACTAACTGAATTTTGATGTCCTTGATGCCATGCCTCACAAGTATACACACACACTGAATCTAAGCACTCAGATATCTTCTTGCCCACATTTTTTTTTGTCATCTTCATCACCACTTACCACAAATTTTAGTAAATGTTTATTAAGCATCTATTATGCTCCTGAGCTAAGTCCTAGAGATGCAAATATTTCAAGACAAAATGACAGCAATGCAATAAAACCCAACTCTGCTCTCACCTTAACACATTGAGCACCCAGCCTGTTTTATCTCCCAGACGGAAGTATAGTGTCAGTCACCGGTGACTGACTGATGTTAAGGAGTTAATCCAGAACTAGACCTTTAAGTCAGTATAACACAAAAAGTTGTTTTAAAGGCTCGGAGAAAGACTGGCTCTGCCTTGAAGGAAGTATTAGCTAAGACTTGCTTAAGACATCTGTGGTGGGACAGTGAGAGTGGGTTGAAGGGGTGAGGTAGGGATGCAGCTCCAAGCAGATGGATCAGCGTGTGCAAAGGCAGGCAGTCCAGAAAACTCAAAGTTTGCAGGGAAACTACAGAGCAGACCTGGATATAGGTGCCCGTGAGGAATGATAGGTAAGGAGCCTGCACAGGTAAGCAGAACCAGATCATGAGGGATTCCACATGCCATTAAAACTTAGATGTGCTCCAGTGCTGTGAAAGAACTTCTCCGGGAAATTTATGTTTATCCATAGACTTTATAACTTTATGGTTCTGCTTTCTCTAAAAATATCTTCCTTTTTCAGAAGATTCTTCTTAAAATTTAAAGAAATCTAACACAAGTAGGAAAGATTGGGCTCCATGGAAAAATTGCAAGAACCCAAAATAAAATATAAAATTATTCTCTCGGTCTCTGTTTATTCTACTTATGACGATCTCTTTAATTGCTAAATGGGTTGAATAAATTAACTGTTTTAGCCATCTTATATGTTAAAATTGAAGAGAATTGCAAACCAAAATTAGGTTAACTTAAACTATCCTGTTTTTGTCTCTGTTTATAAAACACAAATCGACAGTTCATTTTAATAAATTCAGAAACATGGTTTTGAAATCAGCATCTCTTTATGTTCCAGTGGGCAAAGACACCAGACAATGATGAACCATGGGCTTATCCACACCTGTGTACGCTCGGTGCCTCAATTATGAGACCTCCAGCCTTCGCAAATTATGAGTGTTAGGACAGTCAGAGTAAGAGGCAAAATGCAAAGAAATAATTGGTTTTCATTAGTATTAGTACTTGGAGTACTCTTTTCTCATAGCTATTTTTGCTATAATTATTTAAGTATAAAGTTGAAAATAAATAGATGAAGGATATTTAGTTTTATTCTTTAACTTTCCTAATCTGAAATGTTAGCAATAAATAGTTAGATAAGGATAAAAATGTATGAATTACCTGAAGGACATTTTCACAAATATCACAGTTCAAACAAGATTCATGTAAAGAGTGTAGATTTGGTATCAGGCAGGTCAAGGCAAATTCTGGCTTTGTGACCTTGGGCTGATTATTTAAGCTCTTGGAGTTTAGGTTTCCACATTTGTTAAGCAGAGATTACTCTGTTCCTTGGGAACGCTATAGGGATTAGGGATAACATTAGAGACAGTGAGGGTAGTAGGTAATAATATGGGCAGCAGTGCCAGGCTGCCTGGGTTTGAATCCTGGCTCTGCCACTTACTAGCTGCATGACTTGGAACACATTCTCTGTCCTCAGTTTTCTTAACTATAAAGAGGGAATGATAGAAGTTCATATCTCCTAGTAGGTACTGGTTAATATTTGCAAAATATTTGCAAAATACTTAGAACAGTACCTGGTACATATTACTCTTTTAATGTTTGTTAAATAAATTGTTACTGGCACCATGTAACAATTAAAGGGAGCTACTATTTGTATTTAATGTGTAATTGATTCCATGTGAGGACAAATCCTGAAATTTTTGATAGTCATATAATATGTGAGGGTTTTTTTTTTTTATTATTATTACCAAGTCCTTAAAACCTTATTAAATACAAATCCTCAGAGGAATAAAAAAAGTTTACCATTTATATTCTAAATTATCTCTGCTTGATGCAAATTAATTTTTTTTCCTGAGGGACCGTCAGTATAATTAGTAATGTGTAATGAGACTCATTCATCTGACTTGTGCATCCCAAGTCCCTTGTCTTTAGCCAAAGGCCAATGCTTCCTTTAGGAGTTGACCCAGGGTTTCTGAGTGGCCACTATCTCCCATTATTGCTTCTAACAATCTTCCTGTTTACTAGGAGACCTTGAGACAAGGTTTTTGTATATAAAATTCCAGCTTTGTGCCCTGGAACCAAAAAAGAGTGGGGAGCCTGCGGCAGATCTCATTAATAGAATATTTATTAGAAGTCTTCCATTTGTTATCCTCCCGCCACTAGCATGAGGTAAAATGTAAAACAGCTTTGCCTCAGCAAGCCCAATGAGACCTTATCTTTATCCTTCCAGCCTACTTAGCCTTGGCAGCACAGTAAGCCTGGGATATGGAAGGGGACTCCCAGGGTTTGTTTCATATTGCTTTGTTTTCCCATCTCCGCCTCCCCACTCCATTTTGGGCTAAGGAATTGATTTGCTTCTTAGTTCACTGAACTCTCTCATTGGACAAATAGATGTCTTGCTCTGGTCAGCAAGATGGCATTCTATCTCAGCTGTGCTGATTGTATTTGTGCCC